TACCAGGAACAGATAATTGAGTTAGGCGAACGGGCGGCGTCCCTAATTGATTAAAGTCATCCGCCAGCGACGTTGGCGACGGCTCGTAACGGCGCGATTTGTCACACACGAGACCCGACACGTTATTGAATCTTGCCATGTACCAACGCGCGCTGACGATATAAGTGCGAAAGTGAATTAACCCAGAACTCCACTTTCACAATCGTGCCGTACCTCCGGACGCAGAGCTGCGAACTTGGGTCAAGATGCGTCTCACACGCATCAAATGCAACGAACACAGAATCTAGCTTCACGTATTTACGTTTATCTTATTTAGCAAAATTGGTTTAACGAATCTCTTTTACGCACGCCCACTTCATCGAAAGATAACTAACTTGATTCTCAATTTTGCAGCATACTTATCTTCGTTAGTTAGTCGAATAGTCAAATATATTCTATTGCAATTGGCGCTTTTACATGCAAGTTATCCTATTGCAATAAACGTATTCTATTCATTCGTCTCTAACAGGTATAGCAAAATCATTATTATTACGAGGGGTATATCGCGCTTAAAATCATGAAAGAAAGACACGCGAGTCGCCTGGTATTGGCCGCTGTGCACAATATCATTTTTTATTCGCGTCGTTTTGGTGACGTTCCTTATCGCGGCGCCGCGTAAATCGAGGCGAGCGAGCTTCGCCATTCCATTAGAGCGGCAAAGACTCTTATCAGCCTGGCGTGTTTCGACGATCGAATTCCCGAGAGGTTGGCACATCAAATTTCTTTTTCCTCGCGAAACTCTCGAGATCCGAATATACGGGTGAATCGAAAATCCCGAAGCACGAAGGTAATTCTACACCGTGAACGGGACGAAGACACGGTCCATCTGCCGTCGTGACGCAGGCTTGGGTTACTCTTCATTGTGGTGTGCCCTTACGGAACGAGACACCGACCGTATCCACCATTGTAATTGAGCGTGCCGCAACGTATGCGAAACCTGTGTATAGACCCTCCTTCAGTGAGCTCGAAATTTTCTTAAGGTTTCTTCCGCCCGGATGCGCTTCCTTCGCATTTCCTTCGCGGCCTTACGTAATACAGGATATTCGGTAATGAATATGCCGATATTCGAAAGTTACAATAATTTTCTTCTCTAAAGATGGGTGGTTTTTGATAGAAATAAATTTTGACGAGATGATGCTGCGCGTCAGACATACACTGTTGGAAAATTTTTGTACTTTTGTGAAAAAATCTGCTGGTTAAAGTTTTCGTGTAAAATAATCAGCACATACATGTGTAGATTTAAGATTTAACATACGTCTGCTATTATATATGTTAATTGAACTTAACAAACATAAAATGTAAAATTATTAAAATAATGTAAAAACTATGTTAAAGTAACACAATTTGAACGTATTTATTGAATGTGTTAAAATTTACAGAAAAAGTGTGTTGATTTTACTCTATAACAGAAGTGGGGATAATTCAACATAAGGTTCAACATAAAAGTTATGTTAATTGTACACACAATGAATTTAAAATTACAATCAAAATTACATTTTTTTTCTGTTGAAATATTACCATAGTATCGGTGTTACCATTTAACACATCCATATTATGTTAAATTAACACACAAATTTGAACAAACCGTGATTTGGGACGTGTGATTTATGTTATATTTAACACAAATTTTCCAACTGTGTATAAAAACAAAATCTTACTATTTATTTGTAAAGACTAATCTTAGTCTCCGCTTTAATGGAATATTGATTTGAGGCATAGTTATACAGATTTTATAATGCAAAAAAAGTACGAGAAATTAGAAAAAACTTGGTCAAAATTATTTCTATCTCTAACGGAGTATGTCTTCTAGAAGACAGTACCATGTCCGAAATCCGGGCATAAGACGTCTTAAGGGGACTAGACTAGGCACTAGGCAGTGTCAGATTTGTCGAAAATGAAGCTTTTTGGGGAATTTATTACAAAGAAATGAATTAAAACCAAAACTTGTCCTTTAACACAATGTTTACTAGGATCATAAACTATAACAAAAAAATTTTTTAGTTAAAAATATGCATTAAAAATTTTAAAAGCGTTTTTCTCCCGTTGCTTTTCTTCTCGTTTTACATAAATAAACGAAAAAAAAGTTGTTTGATTTTTCTTCTCGAGAACTTGAATTTGCACAGACTTTTTAGAGGTTCAGTCAAATTATACATATATTTTAAACATGCTCAATTTTTTTTCAAGTCGATTTGAGCCTCTGTATTTGAGTTATTGCTGCAAAACGGAAACACTTTTTTAAAAATCCTCTTCGATCAACCTCTTCTATTTTCAACTAAAAAAATTGTTTTGTTATAGTTTATGATTCTAATAAACATTGTGTTAAAAAACAAGTCTTAGTTTCAATTTATTTCTTTGCTTTGTAATAAATTTTCCCCCAAAAAAGCTTCATTTTCAACAAATCTGACTGCCTAGCCCCCTTAAAAATGTTTTATGTCCCGATTTTGGATGCGTACTGTGTAGGCTTATTCGCCAAATGTGTTTATTACCGAATATCCTGCCTCTTTTTAATGCTTTGTACGTCACATTTTATCCACTAAAGCATGACTACGATAACTATACGTCACCATCCGTCCTAAACTCAAGAGCCACTAATTGCAATTTAACATTACTGAGCCTGAAAACGAAACAGGAAATACAGATCCATTTTTCTATAAGGCACAAAAATTATCATGGTGTGTATGACATTTCGATATTTCGTGACGAAATCATAAAACTGATATGAGGTCAGTTATTTATCGCAATGACAGATCACTTTATACTGAACTACTATACTCGTTTAGATAAACGCGCGTCGAACTGACAACTCAAGGAGGAGTAACGAGATGTTTTCTTCTGAACAACTCGCTATGCACATTACAAATACGTGCGTTCTTGTATTCAATATGTACAATAATAAATTAGATTAAATAATAATTGATTCTTGTGTATATTATTATGTAAAAACGATATCACGCATCGTCCGAGTATTATTCGTTAAAACGTGTCGAGTTCAACGTCGCGGATGAAGCTGCTAAACCGGATGATTTTTACGTATCAATGCGCTACCGTATCATGGTGCGGTTTAAACGAGATTCTCTTGCGATACCGTAGTTTAATGGATAACCACCGCAGATCATGTCGCCGAGATCCGTTTAAGATATATACGTGAATGAATCAATGTAGACATTCGCGTTTGAAGAAGTCGCGAAATCTAATAAAAAATGATGATCCGGAGTAAACATCCAACCGTCGGCGCCGAACACGTAATACGCATACTTGCCCATTGACTGAATGCATCACCCGGTGCATTCACCCTATATCTATTCTGCCATTATCCACTTGGATCCCGCCGCCTACCCCCGCGGTCCTACACTTCCGCCCGTCGTGTATACTCGTAAAATAAATCGTATAATCGGATAACGAGAGCTGCCTCTTCGCAGCTTAGGCGAATAACTCGCGATAACTCGATCTCGGCGCGAGTCGTCTTGCACGAGCCAACGTACCTACACATATATCGACTACCTATATCAATAACGCGTCGGAATTGCGCCGTCTGTTGCGATGCAATCATCTCGATATTCATGGACGTTCATGCTGTGCAACGATGCTGCGAATTGTATAATAACTACTGTATTCAAGAAAGAGGGAACAAAAGATTACAATTTGCTCGGCTTACAGCTCTTCGTATTAATAATTAACTGGATTGAAGAATAAGCAATTTTTTTCACATTTAGATTTTTGTGATTAATCTTCAATATTAATATTCTGTTTCAATAAAAGTTTTGATAATATAAAGAATAAAATTTTGTTTTATTTATATTATTATTATATATTTGTTTGCGCCATTGAAGGTTTGACTCCGGAAAATCTATAGGTTTTTAATTACTTGAAATTATAAATATTTCATTATTTTTGTCAATGAAAATTGTTGATTTTTTAATTCAAGTTTTACATATGATCAAATTAGTCTCAAGTACCGTAAATCTAAGACATTATGAATCATATAATGTCTTGAATTTACGGTCATCATAATTTATGATACGCCATATATGTAGATATATCTAAATTCTTACTGATCGCAGCTAACTGGAACCGTTACTTGCCATTTTCTTAATCTCGATCTGATCATTCCAACGACATTTACATCATCATTGATCCCCGGCGTTATCAGGGAATGCGCGCCTAAAGAGAAAATGAGTATTTCGACCCGTTATCAATACTTGACGATTACGTCGGTCATTGACACTGGAATCCGTTACTTGCAGTCGTGCGCTGGAAGCCAGAAACCTGCTCGCTTGTTGTGCATAAGCTAAGTAATTCGAAGAAACTAACGCGAAATATATAACGAACGTTAAAACTGACGTAGACTAATGAAAAAACCTCCAGGATCATGTGTGCAAAAATATAACTATTACCGTCGTCTTCATTTTTAACATCCCAGATAGCACCATGTCCAAAATCGGGACATAAGACGTCTTAAAGATGTCTTATGCCCCGATTTTGGACATAAGATATTTGGGAAGATGTTTCACCTTTATTTTCAGATAAAACCGCGCGTTCCTGCAGATCCGTCTCCGGATCTTGGCGCGCCGCGATTTTTTAGCAGCGTGTATTGTGCACAACGCGTACGTTCGCGGTATCTCTGCGGTAAACATAGCTTTTCCATTATCGTCGACGGGTACGCGCCACGCGCGCCAGAGAGAGTGCTTCGTCATTCCAGATTCTATCCGCCGGCGGGCCGATACAGCGCGTTTAACGTCTGACCCGCATTCCGTCAAGCAGCCTGAAATTTCGCTCTGTCCGCGCGTCTTCGTCCCCGTCTCTTCTTCCGCATCGCTCCCCCCCCCTGCTACGCAGCAGCCGGTTCGCGCGTCTCTCGCGTCTCCGCTCCTCTCTCGCTACGACCGTTCGGCAGAATATATTTGCGCGTTTGTGGTTAGCGCAATGAAAAATATTGTTATTCTGCAGCCAAAGACGTATACCTGAGCATACGTGACGAATCTCGCGATGCGCGCATGATGCCCATGCTGAATCTTTTTCTGTGCTCGCAAAGCGTAGAGACGTCTTAAGACGTTATATTATATAATACGTCTCTTAGGCATCATATCGTAGACATCTTAGAGCCGATTTTACAGTCTCCGATTAATGTGATCCTCCGATTAAACTCACTCTGCATTTCTTTTTAACTGTCCCCCTAGAAAGAGACGAAAAGTGAGTTTAATCGGAGGATCAAGTTAATCGGAGACTGTGAAATCGGCCCTTAAAGATGTCTTTAAAACGTCTTATATCCCGATTTTAAACATGCTGCTGTCTAGCCAGGGTGATACCTTAATAGAACGCGGGCACAGACTGATGACTCCGGTTAGAATTTATTGCCTGAAGAAATACCCGCGACATATCACGAATCGTGACGCGTTGCAACTTGCATGCCATCTGCATTTTCGTGCGCGATTTATCTAAGCCAAAAGTTACATACGATAAAAATTATGCTTACTTACTACATTTACTACATTTTTACATTTCGAATTTCCTCTCTGTGCATTAATTATAATAGATATATAATTAATGCGTATCAATTTTCAACGCTTAATTTTAACATCGATGAAAAGTAATACGAATAAGAGAAAAGTTTTCGGATTTTTAGAAAATATATCGATACGACATATTAACGAGAATAAATTCTATTGACAAAATTCAACGTAAATTTAATAACGCGGAATAAAAAGCTATTTTGTAAAAAAAAAAATTGTAAAACAAAGCTGAAAGAAATTTTGAAGCGCGTCAATATTAATAAAATTAAATAAAATTATAAAATTTTTCTTTCTGTGTTTGTTATCGATATATTTTTGTCTTGAATTTATTGAAATCGATCTCTGTAAATATCAGCTAAATCGCTATCTAAAATTTTCGAAAAAAATAAAAAAATAATAAAACATTAAAATGTTGTAGTAATGTAATTGAATGCGTTCTCACGTTTTAAATTGAAGTCTTATTTTGTAATGCAATTACGCTTTATTCCGCATGTACTTGAGCTGGCGCCAGAAAGAAGAATCCGATAAGAACGTCGTTACATGGCGCCGCTTAATGAAACGTTATCAGGATTAAGCTCCAGTTGCACCGTAATACATCCCGTTGATTTATGCCATGTTGATATAACTAAAAAACAACAATGTAATTGCACTCGAATGTGTATACATAATACGCGGATAATTATCAACAATAAACTCGACGTTTGTCCATCAAACGTTAAGACGTTAAATATTTTGATTATACAAGTCGCATGTTGCGACTGTCACTTCGTAACACTTTAACGCAATAGCGCGTCATGATGTTACGCAATATCATTACGAAATTAGCACATCCTACACAGTTATTTCTCAAAGTCTTGTGTCTTAAGCATGTTAAAAGTCTATTTTTAAACCGTTTGTTTTCTGTCCTAAAACTTCAACGAGACTACATTCGCTCGGCAGTATAATCTGTTTTTCCTCTCTGTGTGTGTGTGTGTGTGTGTGTGTGTGTGTGTGTGTGTGGTAGAAGAATTATTGTGTTTGAGCGTTTATAGAAGTACATTTTTTTCTGATTATGAGATCATTAATCATACAACATATTATATCATTTTACAAACACGAAGAATTTTTATTTTTTAATCGACCATCTCTGATAACAATCATAACTCATTCGGATAAAATTCTTGTTTAGGGGAGACACCTCCAGCGACCTTGCACTTCACATATATTATAAAGATCATCCTCCTGAGATTAAAAGATCTTCCTCTTTAAATTAAAAGATTTTAGCCGTCGCTCGTTATTTATTAAAAAATTGTTAACGAAAGAAGTTTAAAAAATATAAGTTTGAAAAACATAAATGATTAATATGTAGGTATGTTAAAGACATCTTAATGATGTCTTTAAAACGTCTTATGTCCCAATTTTGGACATTGTGCTGTCTGGAATCCGCCTCTTCCCTGCACCCTAAAAGAACCAAACCCAACCTATATTATTATGACAGTACCTTTTTAGTTTAGAGCTTCACCTTCCCCCTCCCCTCACCCGCCCAAAAATATACTTCCAAATTTTTTATAACAACCTTTATCATTGTACGGTTCACGTATATCGCCGCTCGTGCGCGTTAGCGTATGCACTTTTGGAGCGAGACTATCGTGTCTATCGTATATAAATATCTTTTTAAATGTATAGAAAGTTGCGTTCTATTCATTAAATTTATTTCAGGGCGGCAGTGTGGTCTAGTGGTAGAGCGCCAGACTCGTAATCTGAAGAACCAGGTTCGAGTTCACTAGAGCCATGTAAACTTTTGTAAGTTTTTTCCGAAAAGCTGCGCTACCCGTGCAAGATAGGCTCTTGTGCAGAGCAAACTGGGCTCCGTCTTTCGGAAAAAGACGTTAAGCCGTTGGTCTAAAGGGTTAAGTGAGAAGAGAAGGGTAATATTGGATGAGAATTGAATAAAAGGTTGGGAACGTCCCTACAAAACGCCTTACAACCCTGAGGGGAGTCTATAAACGTATTTACCTTATCTTATCATTACATTTATTTCGTTAATAACTTTTTAATAAACACCGAGCGACGGCTAAAACTTTTTGAAGATTACTCAGGAGGGTGACCCGTAATATATGTGAAAGACAAGATCATTGAAGATCCTTTTTTAAAAGAGTTTTACTTTTATTCGAAATAATAATATTAGGTACGTGTTTGGGTTACATTAAAAGTATGCATTTATATTACAGCATTTATAGAAATAGATTTTATTTTTAACCGATTTAAAAAAAAAGGAAGGTTTTCAATTCGGCGAGTATGTACGTAGGTATGTCCACGATAGGTATATCCACGATTTTCTCTGAAACTACTGGACGTATTTGGATGCGCTTTTCACTGTCCTATAGAGCAATCTTTCAGGAAGGTTTTAGTACATAAAATATCGTGTTAGAACATCAGAGTGCTAAGCAGTAAGGAAATATACGATAATAATTACAAGTTACTAATAAATTATTATTTTTTAATCGATTTCATTATTCATATTAATTGAATAAAGCACTAAAAAAATATGAAAAATATATATATAAATGTTTTAAAAGTATAGAATAAAAAAAATCTTTTTAAATAAAACCGACTTCAAAAAAAAATTTTTTTAATTTTAAAAATAAAAAAGCTCTAAAAAATATAAAATAATACTTTTTTTTTAGTCAGCGCCAAATTAATAATACTTTTAAGAATTTTTCTCAATTTTTCTAAATCGGCGCTAAATTAATAATACCTACTTTTAACCTTCTAGCGCCCACAGTTGCACTAGTGCAATATTACTTCATGGGCGCACCAAATTGTCCTGTCGACAGTGTCGACAACTGACGATCTTTTACTGGTATAGGGATTGTTATTTCTATACTTTACTACTTTCGTAGTAAAGTAGATCCCACCGTTCTAGGGCAAATAACGAAGCATTTCCGAAAACAACATTGCGTCTCCGACTTAGGGTCTATGAGCACGAGACCGAAAATCATCCGAGGAACGTGCTCGAGAAACAAGGTTAGACTTATTTTTTTCTTAAATACGTGTTGATCCCTTTAGTTAAAGAATAAATAAATAAAAAAAATGATTGCGAGAGTTATTTTAACCTTTGGTTGTAGAATGGCAGGGTCAACGTTGCACTAGTATAACATAATTTAAACATATAACATAATTTTCACTTTTTAGGCTCCAAATCTTTTTCTACCGGTTTTTTTTTACCTTCAAATAATAAAATAAGCCAAATATATGAGTTTCAGAATTTTATGACAGCGAAATCAAAATGCGGGCATTACAGGGTTAAGAATTCCTTTCAATTTTTTGGAGTCGGCGCTAAATTTATTTAGTAATTATTAATTTGACGCTGACTCCAAAACACTGAAAAGAATTCTTAAAAGTATTATTTCATACTTTTTAGTTTTTTAATTTTTTTATAATAAATGCTATCGTTGGTCATACAATGACCTTTGTGTTTTACAAATGCAAGGATGCTTTTATTTTTTAACATCTCTGACAACGAGTACAACTCATCTCAAACATCAAAGAATTGATATATTCTGATGTTGATGATGATGATTATAAAATTGTCGATATTACATAATTTTTTTTTTCATTGATTGTAATAGCTTACGAATTAGCATAATCGATATTACACGAGTTATCTATATTGCGATAAATATGAGCATGACATTCAAATCGTATCTGCAATTAGCATCTAAAACTTTTAACCCGCACTGGATTGAATTAGAAAAATGTCGAGTTAGTCACGCGATATTATCTTGAAACTCGATTCTGCTGAACGAAATGACAAAACAATATATATTGGTCACTCAATCGACATTGTCGGTCGTACACACGGGGCGTGTTTGTCGTCGTATCGCTGGCACAAATTATCTCGAAATTCTGTCCTCGCTTCTCGTGGATAAAAACGATTCAAGCCCCGGCAATAACTTTCTCTTTTATCGACGATTATTCAAGCGCTTGCGTCTACACGCGCGAGGAACACCGCAATTGCATTTAAAAGCAAGGCTAACTATTTTAATGTATTCGCAAAAACTCGTTAAAGCGATAACGACTTAGTTTTATCATAAATTATTAATCAATCAGCGGTTTGAAAACAAGAAAAGGAAACTCCTGCAGATCTGCCAGTCGAGAATCAGTCGCAAAATCGATCGCAGTCATTACGTTTCCGTATACGTCAAATTTCATTAGATGCGACAGATCGACCCACAGACAAATCGCAAGTGAATACGCGCTATTGCCAATCGATCTTTCGACGCACAAAGTGAGCTTTGGCAACTTGAAACATCGACTAATTATGAATAATCTATCTACTTGTCGTCTTTCACGAGACCGAGCAGCCGCAATTTCTCGCACGTCTCGCGACGATCAGGCAATTATCGCCTCACTATAGGCTGGCTATGTAATGTCAAGGACGCAAGGCACACGCTTAAGTACACGCTTAATTGAAGAAGAATTTGGACCAATGACGCTCCAGAAATTCAAAGTAGCATTAAAGCTGTTGGGCATTACTTAACGTGTGGCAAACATATCGTTTAAAGTCGGCCGGCGGTAAAGCTGTGTTGGTACGTGTGTGAGCATATTATCATCATCTAACAGCGGTTAATCAACCAAACAATAATTTATTTAATGTCAATCAATCACGCACTGTGGAGTTCGGCGTACCCCATTTCCACTTCTGCGTTCATTGACACAGTTATCAGCTTCGTCTCTGAAAGAATATAGCCATCCGCTAATTCCGCCGCGAGACAATGTGTCGCAAGAAGTTCGAGAAGAACCAGCATAGTGATGCTGATAGTGACAGTGGTACCAAAATGGTTGTTTTAAAATTATACAGAGTTGTTTTAAAATTATAAATTGATTCTATCGAGAATCTCTCCGACATTGGTCTCAATTATTCTATCAATTAACGATTTAAGATAAAAGAAACGTGCACGTTAGGATAAAATATTCAATTGCGCAAAAAATATTCAAACGTGAAACTTTTTAAGACCCGCGTTATCGCGGACGCCGTGCGATTACCAGCGGTATCAAAATCTAGGAATGATGTGATGGATTTATGATAATGACAGTGCGATTAGTTTTCAACGTGAAGATATCGCGGCGTATAAAGCTGTCGCATTTATTTGTGTCGCGACATTTGCTGCCGCGAAAATACGCGACACAATGACAAAATGAGCCTCACACGGCGTAGGTAGAGACCGTAGCAACTGTATTCTTGAAGTCGACAAAGTCACGCTGAAATATTCCGTAGGCGACGAATCTTTATAATTTTTTGTAGACTCAAGGCAATTTATAATTTAGTATGAAGCTGATGCCAATTAACAATGTTATGAGATTAACTGATTTCATAAAATCTTTTTATATTGCTTAGCGTATTACAATAAAAATAATTGATAATTAAACAATACTTTTAATAAATCAATTTCTAGTAATTGCGTGCTTTTATCTCATGATATTTTCACAAAAACATAATCCCGAAATCGACAGCTTCTCATTCGGTATTCAACGTTCTGTTTTCTCTCTAAATGGCGAAGTATTTTATAATATCGCAAAAAGTTGATTCCTTTCTCTTCTTTATTCTATAAACTTCGATACCACGAAGATTGGCACCTCGAGGCAAAAAGTGAGCGTTTATCAAAGTAAAATGTCAGCAATATTCCGCGACAGATCTGTATACATAAAGAAATACTGTGATAATATGCGATATCGTCATGCTTCGATGGTCGCGCATATACGTGCTATTATTCGAGTATCAAAAATAACTGCTATCATCGATCAGTACCATCCGTAACACGCTCTCAAAACTACAGTGCCGAGAGTTTGCAAGCGTAATCAGTACAGTGATACAGTAACATGTGACTGATAAGAAATCTGGTTTACTTCACAAGTTAAACCACAAGTGTTTTTTCAATAGCTTATTACTTGAAATATTATTTTAAAAATATGATATATAAAAAAATCAAAGATACTATCAATAATTAGGGCGAAAACAGATCGAAACTCTACACTTTCGCAATCGGATTGATTAGATAATAATATTACCTAAATAATTGTGTAAAAATTATCATCTGATAATCAAAATTGAATTGGAATTGAATCTGGACCCTAAAAGAGAGCTACTTAAAATGTAATAACTAATAATTTTAATAATTTTGTAAAATATATCATCATAAATATATTTATTATATAATCATATATTTTCGCTCCACATATTATAAACTATAATCTACATCTTTCAAAGAAGGAAAAAGTGTAATTATTATAAAATATTATTTTTTATTCATTTCATTTACATTTAATTTACGCAATCAATGATTCTTTAGGATAAAATAGATTTAATAGACGAACATGAATAATACTATGGTATTTCCCTTTTTATGACTTTTTATCCTTTCTAATCTCTACTTTGAAAACCACAATGTGCACAAGAAATGCAATAAGAAGACTATTTAATTTAATAAAAAATAACAGCAGAAAGATTATTTATTCTATTAAGAAATTCCACATGGAACTACTGCTAGTAATCACAGTAAATACATTACTGCGTAAGGTCATGTGTGTTGTTTTAATAATTTGCAGGCAACAACTATTTATAAGCTCTCAACTATGGTCGTCGGTTATTGATAACGCAATCGCCTTGCGCGAAACTCTTTTTCCCGGACGCCCGCTGCATCTCGCAGAGTGGAATTTACTGGACTAAAAGGAATAATCCATCACGCGGAAGAGGTTGAGCGCGAGTGACGATCGCGAGTGACTGTGTCGCGTGCAAGAGCAGCCGCAAATTTCGTTAAGTACTATAAAGTCTACTTGGAGGAATTGTCCAATCTCCTGGATTCAAGTTGGAGAACGGAAAACCAGTCGTTCTTCTCAGCTCGCCGAAGGCATTAAGCACCGGTGGTTCGCGCAGCCACATTTCGCGATCGGGATCAATGTGACCGGCAGATTTATCGATCATCAACACACGAGCCATCCACTTGTCATTTTTTGTGATATTCTGGTTGTGATCGAGTGGATGCTACTCGTTGTGCGCTGCATAATTATAGACGAAAGGTACCTTTTAATATCAACAATAAGCTTTGTGTTAAAAGCTTTATGTCTGATTTGTGTGTCGGTAAACCAATTTCTAACTTTTAATGGCAGTTAATTAGATCCCAATTTATCACAATATAGAATTTCACATATCGCGCGTCAATATTATTACGACAAATCTACATATTTCTATTTCTATTTTTTTATAGGTACTTTAATGATATATACATCATGATGTATTACATTACCGTAAAATTACCGAGAAATTTAATTTCTATTGTATAAAGAAAGAATTGATATACTAATTTTCAAATTATTTAATCGATTAAGCAATTAGATCAAAGTATAATAAAAGTATAGGCATCAGCATTTTGCTGCAAAATGCGTCACGTAAAAAGGTCAAATATAATTTGCAACGTAATATGAAAAAAGATTGCATTACCGACATAAACAAACTAGATTTTTTAGCATTGTACGCAAAATAATTATCGTAATTAAAAAATCTGTTTTCTACAAAAAAGAATAATTTATTATAATATAACGTATAATATCTATATTATATATTATAATATAACAGCATTAGATCTAATCAAAAATAATCCTAATAATTTAATTTATAAAAATTTACTTTTTTTAAAAAAGGTACAAAAAAGGCGTCAAGTATACGCACCTGTCTACCTACAAAAAATATAATATCAGAAAATGACACCAAGTAGGAATAAATTTTTGGAAAGAAGCTGTTGCATTTTTTTAACTTAATCAAAATTTAAAAAATATTTAATGTAAAAAAACTTGGCGCAAGAAAACAGAAAAATTTACATTTCAACTTTGCATCACAATATCTCCGCTCGTAGGATACCTAAATGAAAAATAAACAGTTTTATTTATAATTCGAATTCAAGCTATCGATTGAGCCTACTCAGAATTTAGTCGGTTTAACCGTTATTGAGATCCGATAACCTAGAGTAAGAATCTCTCAAGTAGTTTCGCGTATAAATACACGGTCTGTGTCTCGTTGCGCATATAACACTTGGCACGAGACACTATATACCGTCTCTTGATTCAGAGTATTAATGAAACGAATACTTATTTTTATTAAACAAGAGTATGGCATATTGAATTAACAAAATTATTTCCAATTAATAATCTAAGGTTGTTAAAATATAGCATCGTGTTTTCTGCGTAATAACTGCATACTTCAAGATAAAAAAACTCGATGCCTCTAACACAAATAAAATTTATAATTATCAGAAAAATTAATGAAAAGATTTGTATGAAAGTTTCGATTTCGGTTTTGATCGAACTTAATTATTGACTTGACTAAACCAATATGCAACATATAATAATCAATATGTAATTAAAATTTTGTTCAAAAATAATGTAATATTTTTGAAAAATATTTAAAAAGAATAATGTAATAATCTATTAATTACATTACCTAAAAAATTTAAAAAAAATGAGAATATTTATTAATTATTTAATCAATATATTTCAGTTTCTTGACTTAACTGGCAAAGTTTCGTACATCAAATTTTGCACGACGTTTCGGCCCTTGGTTTGGGCCCTTATCAAGTGACTGTAATAACGTAACGCAATTTCAGGAAGTAACAAATTACAAGAATACAAGACTTAAATAAATTAATCATACGTCGTGCGAAATTTGATGTACGAAACTTTGCCAGTTAAGTCGAGAAACTGAAATATATTTATTTATCACTGGCGAACTACGAAAGCTGTTTATATTTAATCAATGTTTGAAAATTTATTGAATTATAACGTTATATATTTTCGATAAATTTGAATGTCTTAATTTTTATTTAGCACAATTTGTAGAAATATAATTTAATTAAAAAATCAATATATACAATCTTAATGCTTAAAGGTTTTTTTTTATCCTATTAACTAGCAAACTACAGTACCTAGAAACTCAACCCATAACTTGCATATATAACATCTGATTTAATTACACTAATTACATAACATAAGTGTATTGAAAAAACGATTTAACTCCAGAATGAGAAGCATGGGGAAAAAACTTGCAAAGAACCCATTTCACATAACAATACAGAAACATTGAAAAAAGATGCAAATATGCACTCTACAATTAATCAATATCTACCCCTTAATCGGGAGATCCTTCATGTAATCTCTTCAAATTATTTTTGTTTTCCCTTAAGGAGATGCTGTAGTAACATTAATTACCAACATTTTTTTTAACACTGTTACAAGCGAGAAACCACGTAATGTTGAATGTTGAAATGATTGATGGCAATTGTCCACTAAAGACTTTATTCAGACACAGATAAATAGTGAATCGAAGATGTAATCGTTGAGACTGGATTTGACGACTGACTGAGCAGAACTCGGCAGGACAAGTACTAGACAAGACTGCCTTGGTAACTATCTCCAATAGAAAACGATTAAAAACAGCTATATTTGTATCATTTTTAATCGTATCTTATCGGTTCTATCGTTCCATATTTAGAAGACAGATAAAACATTAATTGAATTGAATCAGTTTCTATCGTTTTAGATCCGAATAAGGAAATAACTATACAAATTTTATAGTTATGAATCGTTTTCTATATGTACAATTATTACCCGTCTAAATCAATCGTATATACACGATATAGTATATATGGTATATTGTTATTTATGGTAATAATTTTACCGTATGCATTAATACGGATATACAAGAATAAAATGATAGACATCTCATCGATATTTATATGACTTAACCGAACCAACACATCTATCGTTTTTTATCAGAATTTTCCGACATACAACTTATCATTTTCTGTACAGCAGCTAATCGGTTCGTTTTCTGTTGTATATCAATGATATAAATTGAATCGTTTGAAAGCCTTCTACTTTGTATATGTTTTTATAAGGTTAAAACGATAGACATCTCGTCGATATTTATACAACTTAACCGAACCGATACATCTATCGTTTCTTATCAGGATTTTCTGACATACAACTTATCATCTTCTTTACGGCAGCAAATCGGTTCGTTATCTATCGTATATCAATGATATAAATTGAATCCGCATTAACCAATCGGCGATTAATTCGCGACAATGCCGCTAGGCCGCGCATGATAGAAAGCGCTTCTCGTATTTAAAATACATCCAGTCATAATATATAAGCAGATCCCCTGCGAGGCGGAAAACAGAGAAATCCAGTATCGTAACTGGAGGGATCTCTTCCTATAAGGACCTCCTATGGCGGTAGCCGCTCCGGACTCCCGGACACCGAACAACGAGCCCAGCGGCCTCCAACTCCTGGTGCTAGTTGCCCCGTTCCCGGCGTTCTTCAAAACGATAAAAACCGATTGAAAGAAATGAATCGGTATGAATCTGATTCCTTAATTCACGGATTCATAACGATTGAAATGGATTGACTAAAACCGATTCAAACAATACATTAACCATATTAAAAACGACAGAAACTGATGTGCAGTTGATAAGACACTTACGACAGGATCCCATCAAGTATTTAGTAACGTGAATTTCTGATAGAGTATCGTAAATAAACGATTCACTAACCATATTAAAAACAATAAGAAATTTTTTATCGTTTTCTATCGTTGGCGGTTATCAGGGCATGGACAAAAACTAGACAAGAACTAACTCGAGTTCAACAGAGATCTTATTTTATAGGATTTTTCATCGATAAGTCCTAACCAATAAAGCGTTCTAATGTCGGAAGTAACAATTGAAGCGGCTGATTAAAGAACAATAAAATAAAGTTTAGTATATGACGAAAAGGTCTGTTAGTATAAGAGTAATTTATAGCTGTGATTAGAAGATATTGAAAAAGGGATTTGAAGTAAGTTACGTAAGGGTAAAGACCTAGACAAATATGTAGTGTTAAAAATTATCTTGAGAATTTAGAAACGGAATTTGTAAATATGAAAAATCTAGAGTTATGGCACGTAAGAGCACTCACACTGAGCTACGAGACATCCCCAACTTAAATGTTAAGAGTTAAGCGGGGAGCACACACTTTTGCATAACGCATAATACGTAAGCATAAGAAAACTGATTGGTCTATTTCCTTATGCACATGTGTATGGACCAATCAATTTTCTTATGCTTACGGATTATGCGTTGTGCAGAAGTGTGTGTCCGGGCCCTTAAACTATCATTTTATCTCTGACATAGTTCGATAGAAATTATTTTTTCTATACATATATGGGTGCTCTCCAGCAAGGACACGCTGTGTGTTACACTGTGCTACACTGTGTAAAATAGTTGTTAGAACGCAGTTTAGTTTCTTAGAGTGTAACACTAGAGTGCATTATAGTTTTCCATTCTTATTTTTACGAGTATTTACCGCATCTATAATAAACTTATGATTTTAAATTGTTAAATTATAAGACCCTGTGCACAATAGAACACAAATTAGGAATAAGAGTATATATATTAAATATTAGGA